CAACCTCAGCTTTGGTTGGCAATGAGCTCGGTTGACAATGAGCTCTTCAAGTCGCTAAAACTGTATGTCCACCTCTGTTGGGGTGTACATTTGTATAATGTCAATCTGATATATATAAAGGTATTGTTCACTTTTAATTCCAGACACTGGTAAACATTCGCTTAAACTACCGGTATATCAGACCAATTACTATCCAAATTAGCCAGCTTATCTCTGACAGGATTTGTCATCCAATTAGAGAGTTCCTTACTAAAAATTGGCCTATATAACATGAGTTCTGATTGGTTGCAGAATCAATGAGAACTGAACATGATTTTGATAGCCATTATGTCAGAAACAGTTAGATGTGTACACCTATAATGCCCATACGTTGACCGAAGCCTCTGTCTACATCAGATTGGGGTCGATGTCTGCAAACAATCTTATCTGAGTTATACTCTAGACAATCCATATACTATATATACGGTATACAAACATGTCATGTTGAACACTGTGCATCATTTAGAAGCCTGAGGTTGCAAAGATGCAAGCTTTTTTCCCTGATATAATACCATCATTCTAGTTATTTTATCAGTGAGGCCATGGGACCAGAAATGTTCATAAAATTCAACGCACTCTTAACCGCTTTATTTTGTGAGTCAGGGGAACAAATCACAACATTTTATAGGATTGGTCAACATTATTCAGTACTTCAGCACCCTGGCAATCGTTTTGGCTTCCCATTTGACAAATTTCATGTTATTCAGTACTTCAGCACCCTGGCAATCGTTTTGGCTTCCCATTTGACAAATTTCATGTTATTCAGTACTTCAGCACCCTGGCAATCGTTTTGGCTTCCCATTTGACAAATTTCATGTTATTCAGTACTTCAGCACCCTGGCAATCATTTTCGCTTCCCATTTGATTGTATTAGAATTTCCTTTAGGCCAGATTTTTATTATCCCTTGTTTTGCGAACCCGCAGAATGAAAAGAAGCCGAAAATTAAATAAGAATAAAATGTTATTGCAGCGTAATTTCTCGCGTACGCCAAGTAGTGAGTGCGTCTCACAGATCTATACTTTATGCGAGTTGATTGACAGTGAATCTCGGGTATTGACCTCTCTGCGTGCTGTTTGAGACTACTAGGCGAATATGGCGATGGTATGGTTTGTGGTGACATGCTGTGAAAAATTTACTTATAAAAACGCAGAAACAAAGAATAAAAAAAGTCTGGCCTTACAAATGTTTTTAAATAATGTTACAATACACATGGCAGAATTCTGATAAATCCTCGGCTTTTTACCACAATGTACACAGCACCCATCAAATATTTTGCACAATAATAATCTCAAGACCTCAATGAAGCTTTATAAATACTCTAAGAGTGCAACTTTAAGCTAAAGTATTAATCCCGCTATAAATTATATAAATGGTTCATATTTATTGTACAAAACAAACTCAGATGTTAACCTACCTTGGTTGGCTTTCTAATTTTATAAAATGTACACACATATACGTAGACCCACAGCATTACCTCTTTGAGTGCCAAATGTTTTTCCCTGCTCAAAATGCGGTAAATTTGTTGTCTCCTTTTTGGAATTTTCACTGAATTCAATGCTAATTTTGAACCAAATAGACAAAATATGACATTGCTCCTAGTTTTTGATAACAATTTGAAAAATTCGTCTACATTATCTATGGACTATAAATGGAACTATTTTGTGGATAGTGCCTAAAGTTGACTTTGGGGCTCAGAGAGTTGAAGTGAATAAAGTCAAAGTCACAATCACCAACAAATGCTCCAATTACATTTATTTATCCTAGTATCTATCTGATCCGAAGTCTAGAGAGTTCTCGCAATTCCCACATTTATATGTACCGGTACCATTAATATTTGTTTTTGAAATTTTATGTTACTTCTGGTCATTTAGAGCTTCCATCTTATAACAGCTTTTGTTCTCAAATGTATGCAAGTGCACGGATGTGTTATCAAAATCAATGATTTTTTTTATGATTATATATTTTCCAAATAAAATGTTTGTACTTTCCTAAAACCATAAAGAAAATGAACGACAGAGATCAGAATTAGTAGTACACAGACAGTATGTACAGTCGTCGCGAATATAGTGAATGGAATGGAATAGAATGCGATGAGAGGAGGTAAAGGAAGGACAGATTTACCTGCGATCAACTGAGTGACAGATTTCTGCAGGTGACTGACAGCGTAAGTCGCTGCCAGCATGTTTGGAAAACGAAACTACAGCTTTCACACCAGTTGCTGTTGAGTTTTAGAGTAATAAGACACAGTAAACAGTGCTATCAAGTAAAACAAAGCTACAGAAGTCAAGTGGGTATGTTGAATATTATACGGGAACGAATAAATATGATTTCCATCACGTAACTTATGCATATACAGACAAGGTAAATTGTGTCAAAGTCGATCGGTCATTCCTTGACTTGAGTTCAAGTCGCGACAGAGAGAGAAAAAACACAACGTTTACACATACATTTCGTGAGTTTTTGCGGCTAGCTTACATTTGCACCCATTTCTAACACTCATCATGACATGCATAATTTAGTTACCTTGTGAGTTTGATCTCCCTGGCCTGTTAATATCAGCTGTTTTAGTGTAGTTACCTCACGCACCGATAAGCGTCGGTTACAGCTGTCAAGTATTTTGTTGCTATTTTGCACTTTGTCACGTGACTGTCGAGTGTGAGCGAGAGACAAAGTTGAACACAAGAGGGC